ATTTGAATATAATACGGTCACTCTTAATCGCTGATGAAGGATGCCACAAAATACTGTATTACATATCAATCTAATGATAAAATAAGATATTTTTTGGTTTCAAAACTCTGCGCTAATTCTCTTTCGGCTTCATACTAACTAAACAGAGGTGAAAGAAAAATATCTAACTAATAATTGCTAAAAAAGTGGCAAAAAACCACCGTTTTTTATTCATTGACAATGTAAAAACTTACTTCGTCAAATTTCATGCAATCATTGGCGTAACATTGAGCAATTGGTGCCTGCAAAACCATTAAAATTTAAATGGTCTTATTCAGAAAGCAAATCTAAGAAAGCACAAAACATAAAAGCATAATAACGAAGATGAGCATACCATAGTATAATCCACCGACCGTTGCTTGTTCCCACTTTCCACCACTTCTGCATAAGTTAATGGCGATTTTTCCAACATTGCAATAGCTTTTCTTACTGTTATAAAACAAACGCTATCTAAACGTTGCAATACCTTTCGCATACCTTTACGTCGTAAACTACGTGCTAAAAACATATAAAAATTAGATAACTAGCAGCAATATATGTCATTTTACTCAATTTTAAATAGATCTTATAAAGAAATTGGAAATTTAATTTTAAATATGGGAATCTGTTTCGACTAACAAACGAAAGCAGTATATATGTTGTATGGTTGTTCCAGCAATGCAGGTAAATCTGCCGACATAATCGTATTTGATTGAGATGTTAACAATACACTTTGTGAACTTGAAGCTTGACTTGTTCCTTCTAACTTAAACGATGTTAAAATTTAAAATGAACCAATGATATGCTATGCATTTGATAATATAAGACTTTTTATATGCTTAAAAATTTAGATTTGCAGCTAATTTTTAATAATTGATTGAAAAAAGATCAAAAAATTCAGAATACTTTTAATAGGACAGTGCATAGTGATGCAGCACATCTATTAAAAAACAGTAGTGCTCGAATTGTCACTTAATGAGTACGTATCAAATTTTCCGACATATATAAAAATGATTTCATTTCATTAAAAAGAAACAGACATTTCGCGATGATGCGGGAAATTCCTTCGTGTCCATAGGACTGTCCAATGATGGCCATGAAAGACATGGAACCGAGTGATTATCGGTAACGCCACCCTTTGATGCAACATTCGGAGAAAGTGAAATGCGTCGAGTAGAATTACAATCTTTGTACATGCCCAGAATCACACCGACCTGCATTACACTTACTTCTATAAATTTAGCAAGAACGAACCACTCTCATCACTATCAATGGTTTTACAGCTAATATCACAGATTTTTATGTGCTGTTCTATCGTTACGCAATTATCTTAGGAGTCCGAAAAGCCGCTTCAATGAACGGTTCTTGTAATCCCTGACAACGAAAACGTACCTCTCTTATCCTGGCATACAAATCAATCGTAATATTATACCAAGCATAAAGAATCTGAATTCGAGTTTTGACCAATTCACCTATATTTGTTGATCGCTCCATACTATTCATATTAGGATACAATGCCACGAAATCTTGATAACGTTCCAACATATCCTTCGCTGCTTTCAGTTCCGCTTTCAGTGATCTCTGATTTGACATCTCTGTGGATGGTGACATGGGTGACGAACACGTTATCTCATTTATATCATTTAAACGAAAATCTCGAATCTCTTCCAAGATCACCTTTTGTTTTTCACGCTCAGCTATAAGATACTTATCATGTTCACGAGTTGATTTAATCTGATCATTTGGTGATTTCATCTGCCTGAAAGTTGATAAAATGGTTAAGGACAAATAATTTAAGAAACTTTGCCACTTACATTAGAAGTGAATTAACTTTAACCTGCCAGCAACTACCGCTTGCAGTTGTAACCACAGCACATCACTCCATTTGAAACGTTCGTTTCTGCGGTTGATCAGAAGTACCTTAAAAATAAACATTTATATGGTCAAGAATTTTTTGTCTTCCAAGATATTGCGAGACTTCAAACTATATCAGATCAATTTAATTGCATTTATTTAAGAGCTTCTACTGACGACTGCAATTTTGACTAAAATTAATTTAAAAAATTTAATAATTCCCTGAATTCTCTGATGCGCATTAAAGAAAATATATATTACTACAAAATGTGCCAGTCAATAACCTGATCAGTTATCTTAACATTTAAGGAATAAAAATGAAATAAAAAAAGCACTTGCTGCGACGATTTTCGTACACTTCCAAGTGCTGTCTTCTCACACAATCGATTTAATTTGGCCATAACACTGACACGAAGTAAGCGATATAAACTGCTGTGATACTGATCCCGGTCAATAGCCGATCTACCTAATTCACAACGCATCATAGCAGTTGATATGGATGCTGATGGCTGCACTACAGTATCAGCCAAGGGTTGACTCGGTTCAGGTAATAGGCATCGGTAAACTTCATCATACTACAAAATAATCACATTCCTCCTTTATGACAAAATATCATATTGTCTTTTAAACAAAACAGAATCAGTATGTTTAGTCAACTATTATTTCTGAAAACTTTCACTTAAGTCTCATTTACTGCTTTATTTCCAATATTCACATTACTTAGTACAACTTAGATATCAAATCTAATCAGTAAAACTAGCGTTTATCCCGTTTATCTTCCGTTAAACGAGAAATTGGAAAAAATCGCAATTTTTTTAAATTGTGATATTTTAATATCCAAATGCGAATTTATAAATGGCTGTGGCGAACCATACTAAAATAAATTTTTTAATCTAATTGAGCTGTCAAGAAAAGTGTCTTAATACCTTAATTCCTGACTGCTAATTGTTAAAAATAAAATAGAAATGTACTGGAACAGATTGCGAACCAATAAAGACATTACAATTGAAGTTGAACACTCACCACAGTATAATTTTCATGGCGTGAGAATCGTTCCCCTTGTCCACGAACTGATGGATTTCGTTTTCTTACACGGTCTTGAATGTTTTCATTATGAAACCTTCCACCTGGGAAAAAAAATGCAATCTTGATTAAAAAAAGAAAGGCAAATTTTAATAACTTTCAAACTCAGTCCAGAATAAACTACTGAAACGAATTATTCACCAAATTTTGTTTTATTCAAGCTATAACGTCCACCATATCCCTGTTTTGAATTTGCTCGCAACCTATATTTTGAGGGCTGATTCTGGCAGTTTACTTCAGGCCTGAAAAATCGAAACCAAAAACATTTTCAGAAGTGAATTGATAAGACTAAAGAATTATAAAACCTTACTTGGTCATAATATCTTAAAACGAAACGAATCTCGTCAAAACCAAGTAGCTTTGCTTTTAACAAATAATAACAAATGATATTGTTGAACAAATGATAATATTGCCAATACCAATATTCGGCATTTCAGTTCATCCACTCGTCAGATTTTCGATGTTATCAAAAAAATCTGAAGAAAGATGAGAAAGGAAAATTACCTGTGCTCTCTACCGGATACAGCAGCATGAAGCTGAGGAAGACTGTAACTTCGCCTAATTTGAGCATCGCATGATACATCCAAATTACCAACTTGCATTTTCGGAAAAAATTTTAATTCACTAAATTATTCAACCAATTGACGAATAGAAACATAATGAAAAACTGAGTGCTGAAGTTATTTTCATTTTGACAATATGATAAATAAAATCAATTCCCACCATAGGAACACATTTCCGTACGGACATATAAGACACAAAAAATTTTTGTGTTTTTGATTAAACGATAAATGAATCAATGATCTATTATGCTCATAAATGCACCGATACATACCATATTTCCAATTAAAAATACGTCAGACAGCTATTTTGACAAATACATCAAACAAATTACAAAATTTCAAAAGTGGAAATATTTTCTGAACAGCTATGTAATTATCACATGATTTTACAAGCAATAAAAGGTGACATATATCGTAGAGTGAGATATTCCACGGAATACCGAATTGAAAAAACACGAAAATGTAAAACGTGGAAAAACACTTGGGCATTTACTATACAGGTAAAGCTGACGTGAAAAGAATGAAGATGTTCTCTTAGGAGAGATTATGAATTTGAAAGAGAGGAAGAAGAAAAAGACGTTTATGAAATAACATACAAATTGAAATGTCATTGAGTTGTAACAAAAATGTGGCTTCTAATCTAAAAGCGGTAGTTTTAAGGAATAAAAGACTTTCCGGTTTTCCGGAATAAAACATAGTACGGACTACACAGCTTAACAAAACGTGAATAATTGAATTATCCATTTCAAACTGAAAATGTTTAGCTCAATTAAATTTATTTGAATTAAGCGATCACTGAAGAATGAATATTTCGCCGAAATTTTTTGTTTTTAATACTTTCNCTACACAGCTTAACAAAACGTGAATAATTGAATTATCCATTTCAAACTGAAAATGTTTAGCTCAATTAAATTTATTTGAATTAAGCGATCACTGAAGAATGAATATTTCGCCGAAATTTTTTGTTTTTAATACTTTCACAAAATTTCACCAATATTAATTGTTATATTTCATTAAAATTGCTAATTAGGTTCCGGGAAAAATAATAAAACTAACTCTAATTAAATTGAAACAAATGAATAAAATTAATCTAGATTATTCATAAAATATTATTCGCTTCATCGTTTCATTCATCTATTTATGCAATATTTCATTTTTATTTCTTATTGAAATTTATGCCCATTTAATTATTATGAATAATTTAGTAATGCTTAGAAAACATTGATTATCTATGGATGATCACATAATTCAGATATCTAAAATACAGAAATGGAACTTAAATTTATAAGCAAAATTTCCAATATTTTAAAAACGTGTAATATATTGAATACATATATTTATTTATATCCTTATTTTATATTACTGCAAAATCTATTATGCTAAATATTACATTATTTATTTATATCTCTAATTTATATCATTGCAAAATTGGTTTTGCTCAAATTTTCACATAATTATCGTCAGTCAGCAAAATACAATGAACCTACAGATATCGATTCCTGCATCAATTCTTGATGATAGTTTGATTGAAATCAATAAAACTGATAATATAAATAAAGATAACATTGGACAAAAAAAAGTTTTGAATTGATAAGATAATAAGAATTACTTTGTCATTACAATTAAAACTTTTAAACAATTGCGAATAACAAAAGTATAAAAAAAGATCAAATATATATATATATTAAAAGTTAAACAAATGATATTATCACAATGATATCATTACATATAATTCATTACATATAATATTACATATAATTATTAGTTTGCATAATATTTGACATTGATAAATCGATTCACTGTAATGCTCAATATGATCTGTCACTATTTTAAAAAGCACGAATTAATAATTAAACAATTCAAAGCGGTGATCATATGTTTCTGTTAGTAAAGAAAATAAAATTCAATTATTGCATCATTTTTTTCATTTTAAGCTATATTAAATTTAATACAACATCTGGTAATTAGAATATTTCTGCAACATAATATTTTCAACCATATTGAATTATCCATTTGGCTAAATAAATGTTGTGGTTCCATTTTTTGCGATACAAAAATTCCCTAAAAAATATATATATTTTTTCAATACATTGATGAAAAAATCTAAGACAGCTAGCTATGATATAATTAATTTAATTATTTACCATTGTTACTGCCAGTATTATCAATAATGAACGAATAATGAAAGCGAAGTCTAATCGTATAAATAATGAAAACGAAGTGTAATCGTATAAATTATAGCAAAGCTTTTTGAATATTCAGTATAACATTTTGTATCGTAGTAGTATAATGCTACCACGCCGTATACGAATATGTTAATTGTTAATGTTAATCAACTAAACTATTTACCTGTTTACCTCATTTCACTTATGCATACTATGAATACTGGAAATTATCATCTAGTTATTTTATCTATTACACTAAATCTTATCAGTTAATATTATAAGAGCTGGCAATTTCAATATAAGCAAGATTTGACATCATCATTATTAATTTTTTGTTATTTGATATAAGATTTATTTTAATCAAGAATTGTTGACGCAAATGAATTTGTAATTGAATTAAGCAAATTAAAAAAGATATCAGTATAAAGTTATACCGCTGTTCATAAATAGCATAAATCTCTGGCATATGATTTTATTGAAAAACCTAAAGGTGAAATGAATTATGATGATAATCAAAATGATTATTTAAGGATATCTGATAATAAATGAATTCATCGATGTATGAAATTATATTATTGTAATTTATATCATTGTGATTTTATATTAGAACTTTTCGAAATTCATACGCATATATACATATATCCATTATTTACAAATCCTGTTTTCCATTAAAATTGTTTTAGCAGTAGAAGAATGATAATCGTTAGGCATTGTTCTAGTAGTAGAAGCATGATAATCGCAAATATTTGATCAGGCCTTAAATATTAATCAATTTTATTAGGTCAGATTTATTAAATCAGATAATTCTTTTTTGTTTTCATTTAATGATCGAAAGCATAAAACTTGAAAGATCGTTCTTTTTAGAAATATTTTCTCTTAGGAAAAAAAAACTAAACAATTATGCAAGAATCATTTTCATCTGAATGAAAATCAAAATACAAAAAAGTTTATTTGCACGTAAACTAGTATTGTTTGCACGTAAAGTAGTATTGTTTGCATGTAAATTAATATTATTTGCACAAAAACTAGTACTATTTGCACGTAAACCAATATTATTTGCACGTAAACTTCTTCATTTCGGATATATTTAAAACTTCGAAATTAATTAAGTAATCAGAAAAAAGCAAAAGAGCGAAAAATTGAAATATATTCTTTTAAATTTTCTATTCCAATACTTTTCCCATTTCATTATCATATTTTTCCTTCTCACAGATTTATAATAATATATCTTTTTTGAAACAAAAAATGACTAATTGAAACTATTTCTTATCGTTCTTCATAAAATCTAATTTTTACATTAATAATATATTAAAGTGAGTCATCCTATGATACAATATTATTTTTAAAATACTTCCTCCCTACTGAAAATTCCATTTTTTGCTATTTGAGAGGTCAAAGCGCTAAAATGTTAGTTGTTAAAAGTTGTTCACTATTAGTTCATTATTAATCATTTCGAAACTTTTTCCAGGTAATCAATCGTAAATTAATTGGTAAATTATGGCAGATATATTTTATTCATTGGTGCTATTATTAGCAACATTTGCAAAATTTATGCATGGTATACCAGTTTTTCAAGAAACAAACTATGAAATTCTTGACAATTACTTGAAATCATTTGATTACAATCAGCCGAACTTATCATTGGTTTGTTTTTTCGTTTCTTTCTGAAATTTCATTCTTATCATATAATTCGTTATTCGTTATTCGTTATTCTTTTTGTTAAAGTATACTTACTATTTTTATTTCGATATTAATTTATTTCCGGAATAAATTCTAAATAATTTTTAGATTTAAAATATTCTTAATTTTGTTCATCATATTTGTTTTATTATAATTTCTCTTATGGTACCTTGTAATATGTTGCATATTGCATTACATTATATCTGAAATACTTCCAATCGGTAATCAGTTTCACTCCGGTTTTGCTGTTTATCATAAATGCATGGATGTGCGTGTGCATGATAGTTTCATATAGCTAACATATGAGCGTGTGTATAATAGGTTAATCCAGCTTACATATGCGGAAGAGATCCGAAATTACAAATGCTAATTATGATGAAATTAGCCTCTATCATCGTTACATCGTTTTATTTAAATTGGTTTATAAAATACTCGAAAAATGTCTTTGCCATCGGCATTTTTGAAATATTGAATGTGACTTTTCACTAAGCTTTGTTAATTAATTATCGATGCATAATTGCATTTCTAATTGAAATTAAATGAGCAAAACTTTCATGCATTTTGATGAAGCATACAAAAATTCTTCCTTCTCTATTAAAATATCATTTTTAGGATCAATTACTACCGCTGCCAATTTTGAATATGAAAGAGAAAAAAAATATTGCAACTGGACGTGCTGATGGTTTTCGACCGTGGCAAATACGAAAATCATAAAGCAAATTATAGAATAATTCGAAGATGATTGAAACAAATGTGAAAGCATGTTAAAATGTTTGTTCGTATTCCAAAATGAAATTAGTAAATTAAATTTAATTACTTTGCAGAAGAGCATCAGTGAAACAAAAATAGATTTTCAATTTACTGATAAGTTTTTATAAAATCATCCATCGCCTTTTATTCGAAATATTTCGGAACTTTGCAGGAAGATGTAATTTAATTTTTCTTTCACTTTCAGTCCTTAATTAATGAATTCTCTGCTATTTCTTGTCTTATTGTTTCATTGGTAAAATTTTGTTCTGGTAAAATATTTGTTTGGTAAAATTTTGTTCTGGTAAAAGTTTGTTTTGGTAAAATATTTGCTTTCCCTTCCCTTGCGATCACTTGTGAAATAATTCAAGCGGAATATTTTATTACCTTCAGATGTCGAAGTGCAATTAGCCAACAATGTGCAATTTCAATTTCGTCGTAAAATTATTTGTTGAATAAGTTGGAAAAAAAATTAAATTAAATTTCATAATGAATTGATAATGATTTGAATATAAATATCGCAAAACAAAGTAAAATTCATTTGATGAAATGAAACCAAAAAGCTCTAACGAATAAAATAATACAAATAAACATTATCAAATGGTCGCATGTCGCATGTAGAGGTCAGTCATCGTAAAAGGAAAACGTTGAAATGTGAGAAATTTTTTAATTAATTTAAATTGATATTAATTTTAATTGTAATTGATAATTATAATAATTTTAATTGAATTTTAATTGCAAATTAATGAGCTGAGTTTCTTGTTTCAAGAGTTGCAAATAATTATTTCTACACAATAGTATTTTTTCGCTTTTGTACTGGTTATCCCATTGAAATTATTATTTGTGATTATCATAATTAGCCGGATGTTAGGTAAGCAAATACATAAACAATGATATCATTGAAACAATAATTTTTTCAACTTCTTAGAAGTGAAACAAAAGAAAAATGATGATATGCGTCATTGAAAGTTGGACGTCATTGTCTAAAACCTTTTCAAATGTAAACAACCTCCTTCAAGAAAAATGTAAAATTAAATTCAAGACACTAAAATGCTAATGCTAATTTATTTTTTCATATTCATCATGCAACAATGAAAATGTTTATTTCAATCATATTTAGTTTCTTTATAATTTCATCATTAAAAATATTTCATTCTCATAAGCAATCATTACGATCATTAAAGATAGTTTAGCGTAGTAAATTGAATCTTTGTAGTTGAAGGAAAAAATTAGATTTAAATATGTATATATCAAATTATGATTAATCTTAGCACTATATTAAACAGTTAAAGAATTACCTAGTAGATTTAATCTGAATTATTGTTCTGAAATGAACAGCATATTTCAGTAAAAAAATATCGAATCATACGGACTTTCTGATATATCTGATGATCGCTGATCATCGGAATATTTGATCATGAATAAAAAATTTAATTTAAAATTTATTTCAATATATATATTTATATGACTTTTTCTCTCTCCAATAATATCAATTAAGATTGTGAAATACGAATTGGATTATTTGTTGAGCGAAGTACATCAAATGAACAGAGTAATTGATCATCGACAGTCATTATTGCTGCAGCATTATCAAATTCACCGCAATAATGCGGTGCGGAAAAAATTGTAACCAATTTACGATTCGCAAAAAATTCGTACCCATCTTGAACCACTTGATGTGCTCTAAAGAATTATACGAAAGAGGTCAATTATGCGATTTAAAAATTTTTACTTTATGCAAATATATCAATGCAATATTCGCTGTCCTGTTTATACCTAAAATGGACAAATTTTATTTATTAATTTTTTTAAAATTATTATTTGCATGCAAAAAGAATAAATCAGAATGTTAAGCTAATAACGATTATTGATAGGACATTAATTGAAGGTTATATTGCAAATTGAAGCAAATTAAAATTTGTATAGCAAAATAAAACTCATATAGCTTCTGTTCATCTGCAATGTACAAATTTTATTTTAATTTGAGTTAATTGAAATTTTATTTAATTTAATTGTTTTTTTAAAAATTTGCGATGATATCATTTCAAATTATGATTCACTGTTTTCATATATATTTTGAGCTGTGATCGTTTGCTGACTATAACTATTTTGAAGTAATTTGATTGACAGCTTTTTAAAAATTATCTGACATCATAAACATACATATTATTCACTCGAATAATCCAATAAATGATCGTTAATGTTGAACATGATGAAGTATTCTCTAATCAACAATAAAATCGATGTTTTATATTTCGATATGTATTGCTTGATTAATTTATGCATTAATAAATTAAATGAAACCTTGCAACAAGATCAATATTCATATCTTGACAAAATGTATTCACTACATCAGCACCAAAAACGTATGATACGCCACGCGTATTTTGTTGCCAACCACGTACCCATTTATCTGGATCTGCCCAAAGTAAATCAATATGAATTGAAGGATTCGGTGGATCGATAGGCCTTTCAATATGCAATAGCTATAATGTTATTTGAAGTAAATAATTTTCAAAACAAAAAAATAACAGCAATACTTAAAAAAAAGTTTTCTTTGAAATTTGAAAAGGCCCTGTAAAATAGATCTTAATTTTATTAATAACTAATTAAAAACGCAATAAAATTTTGTTAGACAAAAGAAGAATTTGATGAAATTGAAAATTTCTTTAAGTGAATAATTAATTAACCTGATCCCAACTGCTTAATTTTGGTGATAAACCACCATGCATGCAAAATATTTTCCCTGCTATTAAGCTACAAAATGGTAAGCAATTGAATACATCCTGAAATTATCAACCAATTTTGATTTGAGCGTAGATAAGCAATCATCCGGATGTTTCAATAAGAAATAAATATAATGAAAAAATTAGAAGGTTGGAGAAAGAAAAAGGAAACATGCTTTGTTTCAAATTTAAGTAATTAAATTTCATATGTTTTATCATTTAATAAAAATTAAACGAAATTGAATATATCATTTAAATTTTGCATAATTCTATAGATTGAATAGTTTTCAAAACAAAAATTAACGTATTAATATAAATTTATAAGTGAAGTTAAATGCAAACAATTAATATGCTAATTAATTGGAAATCTGAAACTGATTAACTCTGAAATTGATATGCTGATTAATTAAAATACCTGAAACGTTTGCCATAAGCGTAAACTATAACGCCGATTGCATTCATCATAAAAGCCATAAGCACGATTAATTGCTGCACATTCATGATTCCCACGTAACAGGAAAAAATTTTCCGGATATTTCGTTTTATAACAAAATTGCAGACAGATTGTTTCTAAGCTTTGTTTACCTCTACAAATTCTGTGCTAATTTTTTCATTTGTATTAAATTTCCAACAAGAAAGAAAAAACTGATAGGAATAAAATTACTTGATTTTAATGAAAACTCAATTAATTGCAAATTTAACAAATAAATAACGGTTCAGATAATTAATTTAATTAAGCGATCATTAAGCGTAATGTAACGTAAAGTAGGATGATATCATAGAAACTTCCGGGGAAAAAAAAAGGAAATTCATAAAAGGTTTCATTTTATTAATTTAATTGATCTATACATTTGTAGTTGACACCCTTTGCAACATTACTTGGATCTCCTGGATAATATAACAAACACTATCCTTTTTAATTTGCAATAAGATAGTAATGGCAGTACGGAAGGACATACTAGACTAACCTAATTAGCGCATGATATGATTATTACCTGTCGACATAATCACCGAGAAAGACATAATTAGCATCCGGTGGAAAACCACAACGATTATACAAACGAAGTAGATCGGCATATTGTCCATGCAAATCTCCACATACCTTGTAAAATAATAAAAATTGATCCGTGAAATATTTGACACAAAATTTTTCATCATTCTTTTTTTAACTTTTTTTTGGATAGTTAATTTAATATCGGAGAAATTAAATGAATTAAGTGATATGATAATTTACGAAATAAAATGACAATTGTATTTAATGTATTTAATATGCAAATGCTTTGAAGAATTTTTCATTACTAAATTTATTGATTTGTTATTTAGGAGTGATATGATAATTTAAATTTGTGTTTTTGTATGATAATCGAAATGATTGATTGATAAGTGTTCTAAGTTAGAAAGTCAAATTACTTTAACAGGTGGTTCAATTTCGATTAAAGGTGGCTGAGAAAGAAAAACTTGTCGAGCAATTCCAAGTAATGTTACTAAAAGTAATGTATCGTAGATTAATGAAAGCAATGAATAATGTTTTACAAAAGAATAGAATAAATTATTTCTAGAAAGAATATTCCTGAATTTTCAGGTCGAACTGAAACTGTACCGCGAAAGTAAATCATTAGCAAAAAAATTAAGCTACTTGAATTATGTATATCAATTATTGAGTACCATTGTGTTATAAAATAATTATGCAAAATGCCATTTTGAAATAATTAGCGAGAAGTTAAGATAATTAAGAGGTTAAGAGTATTTTTCAGCAATTAACTTTATTGTTCTTTTGAAGTAAAAAGAAATTCTTTCTTCTAAATTTTGTTGTTTTTTGGTTTTTAATAATTTTTAATTATTTTTTAATTTTCGAAAAACAATTAATTTTTTTTTAACACGTCGACCAATTTCTTGTTCAGAAACACATTTGGTAAGTGCGACACCACCGCTTAAACCAACTGATAGAAGACGATCAATGAGATTGTCAATATCAAGACTCATTGCATGGATTATACACGTCTGTCTACGATAAATTAATATAACAAATGGCAATAATTTTAAACGCCTAATAATCATTCTTTTATAGAATGGCTCGTAAGAATGGCTTACCTATTATTAAGTAAATTTAAAAAAATTTGAATATTATTTACAAATAAAAAAACAAATGTAATACTAAGCATTATATATGTGCAAGATGTATTTCCAATAAAGAAATTTGCATATCATATATATATTTAAATTTAAATTAAATTAAATTTTGTTATTAGTTAAAATGTAAATCTTTTCAATCAATTAATTTTGCAATTAGCAGTATGCAAAATTGTTATATATTAGTTGAAAATTTTCAGCAATAATTTTAAATTTACAATTATATCACTTTTGGTGATAAAGTTAACTTTGAATAGTTTTGCAGCTGTTAAAAGTGTCGGTGATAATTTTTCACAAAAAGATTTGCTTTATCTGATCGATACCTTTATGGACAATTGCGCTTGAATAATTGAACACATTTGTTTTTATATCAAAATTATTTCAAGCATAATTTCAATATTTTAATATACTCATTTTTAACTTTATAAATGATCAAATAATTTTTTTAAATTTTATTATTGATTAATGTGCAAATAATTTTGAGAGAAATTTTTCCATCAAAATAAGTCCCGTAGGAAAAAATTATATCAGGATAACTTCAAATAATTTTCAAGAATAATGATATATTATGTTTATCAAATAGGATTACACTAATATTTTTTAAAACTACATCCATTTTATAAATGAGCCATTTCATCGATCATTTAGTCAAAATTATTGACAGCTTACACAGGATAGCAGCCAGAATTTATATTTTTTATGAAAATATATTCTCGACCGAAAGATCAATATCATAACCTAATGAACAAAATATCATATGTTCAAATAATAATTATCATCGAGAACAACCATAACTGATATCTGAGGTGAAAATTTTTAGAGGCAATATAAATAGGAATAAATCAATATATCATACTTTCAACTACTAGAATAATAAGTAAAATTTCATGAATTTCAACTTTGAATTTTATTATATCTCTTCTATTTCAATCGTATTCAAAATTTCAAAGATGAAATGGTTGTAAAATTATTTTAGGTTTTATTGCATTAATCAAATCAAATTCAAAGTTGATTAGTTAAAGTATTATTTCGAGATAAGTCACATTTAGCATAATAATAAAATAAAATTTTCGATTAAAGTTGATGAAAAAAAATAGGTCAAATACAAAATTAATATTTTAATAATTGCGAAATATCGCAAATATCAAAAAAGTATTTGAATTAAATTTAAATCAACCATAACCGTTATGTATATATCAAGCATTAATTATATATATATCAGTAGAGAAGCAAATATAAAAAATACAAATTATATTATATGTTTTAATTACAATGCAAAAAATTTTTGGCACTCATAATTTGATGAGATTTAAATCATAACTTGCAATGTAATCAACAAAACTGATAAATGATTTTAGCGAAATGATAAAATACTCATTTTGCAGTAACTAACAATTAAATCATTATCTTTCTTATACAATTATCGATACTAATTTTGGAGTATATTTCAATTTCTCGAGTTGATTTTTGAATTAAGTTTTTACTGTCAGTAAAAAATAGAAAAAAATTTTTTTCTGCTTTTATCAAATTAATTAGTCAGTCATCAATCAATCAATCACCTTTGAACTTTTTATCATAACGCTAGCAAAAATTTACACTTAAATTTTGGAAGAGTTGTGAAAGGAATTCATTTTGCACTACTTGCACAACCATAAACAAAATTTAACTGAGAAGAAAAGTGGAAAAGTAGAAAAGAAAAAGTGTAGTAGAGTGAGGTGAGATCGATTAATAACGGTAATTAATATAGCTTAATTAGCAAAAATAAGTGTCGCTATTTAATCTCAGAAATAATTTTAAGAAGTAGATGAATGATAATGGAAGACTGATAACACTCTATTATCATCTTGTTATCGATCGCTCATCATTTTTACAAATTCCTCATAATCGATGTCACCATCTCCTGCAAAGTAAAATGCAATTCATCAACATTTGAATAAAATTAAATTTCAAAATTGCAAATCAATAACATTTATCCCATTGAAATCTTAAAACGATTATGATAGTAAGCTGCCTTTTCCTTTTTCATCAAGATGAATTAAAAAATTTTAAATTTATACCATCAGCATCCACTTCTCGGATCATCTCATCAACTTCATCTTCAGTGAACTGCATGCCCATATGGACCTGAAATGATGATCATTTCAAAAACCCTGAAATGATGATCATTTCAAAAATAAACCTGATTTTTCTTTCCTTCTATTACGTTCAAAGTTTATCAGAAAGAGATTGTTGAAATTTCATCAAATAGATTTTTTTCATCATCTTATAAATTAAATAAATTTTTTCATCATCTTATAAATTTTATTTTTCATTATCTTATAAATTACGAAAAATGCAATTAAATCAAAATGAATGAGAGGTAAATTTTAATTAGTAAATTTTAATTCATTTAATTAGTATTAGCAAATGAGTCAAAATACATTGACCTCCAGCAGTTGTTTCAATCAAATGTGAGAAATTTTAGGTCGAAGAAATTCATTTTATTACTCTTTCATAAGTTATTTAAAAATTTTTGAATTTTTAGCGATCATTTTATTTTGAATTACATAATTGATTATTTTAATGAATCATTATATCTTTATTGATGATTTAATTTACCATGAAATATCGAAATTCTTGAGCTGTAATAACACCGTTTCCGTCTTTATCAAAGACTCGAAATGCTTCTCGAATTATTTCAGAATCTGTTTCCTTCATCATTCGTTTCATCATTACACAAAATTCAGTAAATTCAATTTGTCCATTACCATCAATATCTACTTCATTAATCATTTCCATTATTTCCTGCAACATAATATTTCTTGTTCATATTATATGATAGTAAATTGCCATCCTTCTACATTTACTTTTGAAAAACTATTTAGTATTCAAAAATTTCATTATCAATTTAAATCATAAATCAAAAGTTGTTAGCTGGCAATAAAAAGTGATATTTCGAGCATTTCATCTCATTTCAAAAATACGTTAATCTTTGGAATGAATCGAAGGATCAATAAAATGAAATGATTACAGTGTAATGTCGTATATCAAAATTAAATTAAATTTAATTTAATAGCTGACAGAAAAAATGAATGCAAATTTTACAAGCGGAATAATTTAAAATTTAATTTTTTACAACTCTTCCACTTTCATACAATTTTTATGAACAAAACTTTCACATACTTGTTCGGTGGGATTCTGTCCTAATGATCGCATTGCAATACCCAATTCTTTAGTTGAAATGGTTCCATTACCATCTTTATCAAACATCATAAATGCTTCGCGAAATTCATCGATTTCTTCAGGTGTTAACTGTAGTTTTTTTTTTTCGTAAATTAATGATCTTTTAAAATTAGAAATTCTCTGATAACTTTGACCTCACAATGTCATTCACTATTTATGATAGCAGCAATTGTAAGCAGTAGCTAATAATATTATTTTCGAGATATTGGCTTTTCACATTCAATCGATTCGAGGTCAATGTTAAGATTGATAAAAATCTTTTAATTTATTAGCAATATAATTTGACACAAAAATAGACTATAGGATTCTTAAATTTCAAAAATATTTGTGATAATATCAAAAAAGAAAAAGAACGATTTATTCATAAATTCTTTTCATGTCAACTCTATCGATAAATTCAAGAAGTATCGGAAATGAAATAACATTTCATACCTCAATCCTTATCAAATTAAATGATTATTTCAAAAATTTAAATAAATGAAATTGATGGTTCATTTGTAAGTATTAACCATCAATTTCATTTATTTAAATGTTTAAATTCATTTATCATACACTTACATTTAATATCTCACGTATTATCTCACGTACATATCGCAGTTTTACTGAGATCCAAAAAGAGAAAATCAATTAAATGATTATGGCACTGAATAATAAATCTCACGAAACATGTTAATTAATATCTCACGTATAACATAATATCACACGTTTTACTGCGGTCAAAAAAAAAAGAAAATCAATTCGATGATTATGATACTGAATAATAGAATTAAATGTTTTACCTGTTTCATGATATCCTCATTTAATTGTAATGCATTGGATGATTGTTGACGTGCTGCGCTTAGTGCCATTTCTGAAAATTTATTCAAATAAAAGAAATTTTAATCTTTTTGTTTTATTTCTACGAATGATACGCCCAATTTTGAATAATCCTGTTATTTACTTTAGTTCAATAATAATCATTGAAATTTATCATATTTTGCAAAACAAAAGAAGAAACAAAACGAAATATATCATATGGTTGGCTATACTATGCTAAGCTATAGGCCTCAAGAGAGAAGAATAATTTTAAAATACATATATATTTATCATAAATTAACTTAGTGTCGCATATAGCAAAAAGCAAAGGAATTTTCATAAAATATTACTATAAGAAAACAATTGAAATTAATATTGGAAATGAATTTTGACATACATAGAAAAGTAATATATTCGAATTAAAACGATCAGCAATTTTAATATATTTTCAATTGAAATTAATACTGGAAATAAATTTTAGCATACATAGAAAAATAACATATTTGAATTAAAGCGATCAACAATTTTAATACATTTTCAAAATCAATCTTTTTTCTTTGCTTTGTTAATGGAGAAAAAGAATTTGAATGGATTGAATTTTAATTTAGGTTGAATTCTTTATTTTGCAAATTAAATTATTTAAAAGAATGAAAATATTTCAGCTTTTAAATTGATCCTATATCTACGTGCAACATCCCTTTTTTCATCCATTCCAAATTTCTAATAAATCAAAAATTTTATATGTAATTCTAAAATTATTTCTGTATTTCATAAATTTTTCGTTTTTCAAATTTAATAAAAAAATTATATTTCACATAATGCAAAGGAAAAAATAAACAATATTACACATTATTGGGAAGATAAATTATAAGATATATGATAAATTATATGATTTGTTAATATTATTTATTGCTTTTTCTTCATTTTATGTTTTAATACACAATCTAAGAATAAAATTAAGTTCTTTCTATACTTCATAAATACCATAAAATAAATTAAAATTCAAAATTTTATCTGAAATTTTATTTTTTAAAATTATAAAAACATAATTGCTTGCGTTATCAAAGTATTTTTAAAGATTTAATTATTTATTTTTTAATACGCAATCATTTCTAAGAATAAAATTAAGTTCTCATACTTCATAAACCGTAAAATACCATAAAATAAATTAATATATACCGTAAAATAAATTAATTAAAATTCAAACTTTTGTCTCAAATTTTAATTTATAAAATTATAAAAACATAATTGTTTTGCATAATCAAAATATTCCTAAAGATTTAATTATTTGTTTACTTTTAGAACGAAAAATAACATTTCATTTCGCAACAATATGTCAGATTTTTTAGTAAGTAATTGAAAATTGATAAGACAAAAGGAAACGAATGAATGATTTTTGATGAGATGTCTGAAATTTAATGAGAAATGAAAGTTTTAGCTCTATTTTTTTTCATTTTGCTTTTTCACCAACTGTTTCTAAGATCCGACAATGTTGCTAAATAAATGATATGATACATCGACCGTTGGAGACAGCTAAACATATTCAGCTATATTTGTTTTCTCTCTCTCGCTCTCACGCTCTCTAACAAAATTTCATCTAACATAGTAATAATAATGATAATGCATGTGATGATGATAACTTAGTGATATTAGTAAATAATAAAGAATGCAAAACTTTTTATTGGTATAACGAATTCTTCAAATATTTTCAAACCAAAAATTCTATCTAACAAACATAGTACTAGTAATAGTGATAATGATAACTAATTGATATTAGTTAATAATAAAGATGCATAAATTTTACCGGTATAACGAATTCTTCAAATATTTTAAAATATTTTGATGAATTTTTTTATTACATAATAAATAAAATATTTGATAAATTATTTGATAAAACAATCATCAATGACTCATTAATTGAAATTTTTTTTTTGATTACAATTATAAATGAAAACTAAATTATTATTAATAAGTTGTATAAAAATAAAAAAAGAAAATTGGTTGGAAATTTTTAGCTGACAGATTTTTCTGAAAAATTTTATCGTTTTAATTTTCTTGCATAATAATTTATTAATATTATAAAATTTAAAATATTTTAATTAATTTAATATTTGAAGAAATTTTTGAAACATTCAAAAAGTTATATTTAATGAAAGAAATCAATAAAAAGGAAAAATGAAAAAGTTTGCGAAAAAAGTTTTTGCAAAATTTCAATTTTATTTTAAACAAAAAATAATTCAATTAAGAAAAACAAAAGAAGAAAGAATTTGTAGAAAAAAAATTTTTGCAAAATTTCAATTTTATTTTAAATAATTCAGTCACTGAAAATTACATATTTATTAAACTATATAAAACTATATAAATTACATATAAAAAATATCAAATATATTTTTCTTTGATGTTCGCTTACATATTTTTATTGTTTAAATTTAAGAAAAGAAAAAGTCATTAATTTCTTTTAAAGTTTAAAATTCACCGATAGAAGATGAATGAATTAAGCATACGATCCATTTCATTTCATCCCACTCATTAATTTTATCTTCCGTTTTGAAAAAAAAAAAGGATTGTGAAAATTTTTTTCTACAAACGCTGCACTGATATATTGATAAGTTGACCTTTGACCGATAATAGTTAATATCATTTTTTTCAATTTCGAAAATTTTTCAAACTTCAATAAATTTCATTTTAATTCCATCAGATATTGCATAAGTTTTTTTTCTTTTAATAAACATTTTTAATTAATAAAGAGTAAGAGATGCAAAGAAAAATGGAGAAAAATGTAGAGAGAAAATCTTTGCATCTCTCTCTTTCTCTCTCTCTCTCTATCTATTTCTTTATTAAAAAACTTATTTAAAAAACAAAAATTGTGATCTGGCAGCAAAATTTTGTGAAAGTTTCACATTTTCCCTCTAAAGATTAATTAATTACAAGCGACAAAAATTTTTTCAATTTCAATTAATTTCATTTCAATTCTATCAAATATTGCATGGTTTCGTAATTTTAATTTTTTTTAAATTTTAATTATGACACTTTTTTTTGCCGAAATGATACGGAAGAAAAATATTTTTGCCGAAATGATACGGAGGAGAAATATTTTTGCCGAAATGATACGGAGGAGAAATATTTTTGCCGAAATGATACGGAGGAGAAATATTTTTTACCGGGATGGTACGATAGATACGGAGGAAAAATTAAAATTTTTTCTCAATTTTATGAGTGGCCATTCAAAATTTGATACATTAATATTTTCACCAATAAGTAAATCATTTTATTTATCGTTATTTATTATTATTGTAAAGTGTATTAAAATAAAAATCTAATTATCAAATTCTCAATTTAATAAATAAGAATTTAATTATTAAATTACTCAATCTATTTTTTTATTCTGAATAATCCCTTTAAAAAAGGTTACTAAAAATGAAATTACAAATATTTTTAAATTTTAAATGATAAAAAAGAAAATTTTTTATAATAATTATAGTTATCATAGTTATTTAGCTATGATAGTTATAATTATAATAACGGTTATAATAGTTATTTTTTCAATACTTTTATAGTTATTTCTAATAATCGTTTTCAAAAAATTCTTCTCTTTTTGCAAATATTAAAGTAATTCTTGTGAATAAATAATTTTTGGAAAACTTTTTAATTTGAAAAAATTTTATACAAAAATAGAAAATTTCATTTGAATAAATTTTTAATTACACTAATTTAATTAACCTATAATTACTATTTCATTATCATTTCATTATATTTAAATCATAGGAAAAATATAAATTCCAAAAGAAACGAAAAGAATGAAAAATGAAAATTAAATTGAGAGCTCTTTTGAAATTTTAAGAGAATCGAAAGGATCTTTCTACTCTTCATTTATTTCTTATCGATCATACATTCCAATTGTTGCCTTTTTGCATAATTAAATTTTGTTTGTGATCATTTTAAATTCCTTCTCTGTCACATATTTTCGATGCAAATATATTCATTGAATAAAAGGCAATAGTTCTTTGTTTTAATGAAAAATAAAACGTATTATTTTCATTCTAAATTTTTGCCAGCTTTTTTAAAGCGACAAATATTAGAGAAATGACAAATTTATAATTTAAAATGACAAAAAAATTTATAGTTAAAATGATATTGGAGAAATGACAAATTTATAATTAAAAATTTAAAACGATAAATTTATAATTAAAATGATATATTCATTTGTTGTATTTCATTGATAAATGAAATGCATGATAATTTGAATTGCTTAATTCCAATGTATTTCTAATAGATGACACCGCTACCGTACGGCAACAATATGATGAATTATTAGAATAAAAAAATTTATAAAGTAAAAATTAAAATTGAAAATTATCAAAGGCTAATTTTTTTCTTAAAGAATCTTTATATAATTAAAAAGTGCTAATTTTATTTGAAATATTTTATTCGATTTTCTTGTCATCTAATTTTTACTTCCCTTTTTCCGATTTACTTCCTTTTTCCGATTTTAATTCCAATGTATTTTTATTCCAATGTGTATATTTAATTCCAATGTAAACTTATCGAAATTTTGCTAAACTGATAATTCAAATGATTTCGAATGAACTAATATAATAAGTCTATTTTGAGATGATTAAACTAAGTGATAATAAATGATATGAATAATCAATAATGAAAGATAAAAGATTAAAAGAAAAAATATTCCGATGCTGGAAATCTTTCGTTTCGTTTCACAATTTGAATGATAATAATGATAATACAGGTGATACGCAATAAGAGATAAGTTAAAGTTAAATGATCCAACCAAGAAATTTGTTGGCAAAATAATAAAAAGTTAAAAATAAGACGATAATAATAGTTGTAGTAATTAATCATAGTTGTACACATAATAATAATAGTTGCACATAGTAATAGTAATAGTTGTAATTAATAATACTTAATAATAGTTATAATTAATAATACTTAATAATAGTATTAGTTGTACATACTAATTAAAATATTTATATTCCATAAAAAAAAATTTCCATTTTAAATAGTTGAAATCTAATTTATTGCATTGTTGAAAAAGTTG